GACCGGGTTGATAAGAGGTTGGCGCGTGTAGATTGCTGGCATGGGCGAGGGGGATGTTGGCTACCGTCACGGAAGTCTATCACAGGCGATGCATTACAATAAATACGTACAATGGAGGATTGGTAGCAATTTCATATAATTTTACAGCTTTGGTATAATATTATTCAACATTATTAGGGCAATTAAAAACGAGCAGTCTTACAATTGATTAACTGAGACGTACTTTGCATGTTCTGTGGCAATCTGTTTCAAACCCATACTTGACAGTGTGAATTTCACAATCAAAAGTAGCAGCTCATCAATCGAATGATAACAAGGCAACATTATCATCGAATACTCAGTATAAAAAAAAAAAAACATCAATTCGTCGTTCCTTAAACATAAAAAGAAACAAATCATTCATAAAGTTATCGATAAGACAATATATCAACATCACACGCGCAACATTCCCCATAAGATAAATCATAAACTCAAAAGAAAACAAATCCATCATAGTCATAATATAAATTATATCAAAGAAAACGCTCAATTTGGTAAAAGAGTATTATAATAATCCAACTATCATCCCAAAACAAAGGAAATACTACAGGCTATGCTGTACATGCACGCATGCTAAAGTTAACTAATTAAATAACGAAAAGCCTCCTTGCCGCCGCCAGAACCATTGCTGGGGCGGGGGTATCCGACGAGCCAAAACCAGAATGACAAAAAAACGAATGAATGCAAGCTCGCTCGCTTTCATAACTTCGCTAAGAAACGTGGGAAAATGGGAAACATGTCGATGAGTATGTATAAAAAAACTAGGGGATTCGTTACAGATGCAAGGTTACCAGATGTATAAGTAGTCATAAGCAAGAAAAGGGGGTCATAATAAAGTAATTTTGTCTTTGTTAAAAAGAATACCAGCTTTTCCTTCCTCCTTTTGTGTCTCTTTTTCTCTATCCCTTTCGTTTTATTTTCTTTCTTATTGTGATTTTCTCTTGTTACGTTCGTGGATCGAATGCCACGGGTGGCGAACTAAGCGCCTCTTTCAACGCCTTTCTGCGCTTCTTACTCTCTTTTCTCTCCCTGTAGCTCTCTCTCAGCCCCTTCACGCCGACGAACTCCAGCTGCACCTTCCCCAAACTAACCGTTCTATGATTCTTCTTCCTCTTCCCGCTGCTCACATCCGACTCACTCGTGATGAATCCAGAGGTGGTATGGGGTCTATATTCCCCATCATATTCCGCACCGTAAGGGTATTCGTGGAAGTAGGAATACTTTGGCTTCCACCACGGTGACAACTTGCTCTTCTTGAACCCTGTCGGTCGGTCTCTCAAACTCGGTCGTCGTGGTTGGTCTAACCCTGGCGTCGTGTTTTCAAAATCTATGAGAGGTTCTGGTGCCGTTGCTGGTCGTACGCCTGAGATTTCGTGAACAACGGACGGGAGTCGTGGAGGTAATGGGATCGAATGGATCGAGTCTGATGCTGAGTGACTGTGGACTACGGGTACGCCCGAGAGCGGGTTTGGAGTAGCTTTTCGTAAGGGAGCGGCCGTGGTTGTTTGATCTGGGATGTCTGGGATGGGTGGTGGTTGATACCCGAGTTGGCGGACTCTGTTGGCGGATTCTTCAGTAGCGGAAGGAGTGGGTGGGATTAGTTGAAAGGTGACGGGCATAGTGGGCCATGTTTGGTCAAGTGCCCGTTCTTTGCCCTTTCCTTTTCCCTTCACGGTGGAACTTCCCTCTCCGAGTGATAAATCTGGTCCCTCACCGAATGAAAATTGTGGAACATGTTGCGGAGCGATAGGAAATTCGGGTTTCTTCACTTCCTCGACTGGCGAAGCGACCGCGATCTCCGGAAATTCCGCGGGTTTGGTACCCTTTGATCCGGTACGCACAAGAACTTCCTTGACAGACCCGCTGGGTACCAAACCAGCATTGACGACTTCAATTTTCTCACCGACTCCTAGAATCTCAATGCCACTCGAGAAGGAGAAGCGATTGCTTTCGCTTCTCACAACGCTTTCATCGGATGCTTTGTGGCTGTTAAGGATCGTGGCAAGACTAGGTCGTTGCGGACTTGCCGTCGAACTATCCTTCCTCAGCCAAGTATCTAGCAACTGAGTCGCTTTACCGGTCTTTCCAACAGAACTCTTGCGAACTGGAATCTGCGGTGGACCGTCATCGATACTCCTACTCCTCCCGCGGCCACGGAGCTGTTCGTCGGTGATGGCATTTGCGGAGCTACTCCTTTGGCGTTGGGCGGGCGGGTTGATACGACCCCGGTCGTTATAAACCGAGCTAGAATCAATAGATTTGCCTCGGACATGTGCGCCAGGACGTTGAGATGTAGGCGGGTATGATTTACCAGGGATGGTCTCAGCGGACACGTTTCTAGAGTGAGATAGAGATGACCTCCTAGTTGGAATTGGAGGACGTGTCGGGGTAGAATGCGTGGAAGAGGTGGCTGTGAGAACCGGTGCAGGTGGTGGTGTTTGCGGCCGGACTTCGGTTGGAACGGGAGGCGCTGGTTCTAAAGGATTTGATATTTCCAAATATGGTGTTCTGATTTCGGTGGGTGTGAAGAAGACTGTGTCATTTGTCGCGACACTGTTGATTGATTCTTGTGTATCATTACGGTTGAGGCCTGGGAAGGCTGGTGGTTGGAGTACTTTGGGTGTGGCTTCTGGATCCTCTACGAGATCCATTATACCGACGTTTGTATTCATACGAGCTTGCGTGGGTGTAGTCTCATCGACTTCTTCGGCTGGTTGCTCCTCCTGTTGTTGTTGCTGCTCCCGTCTGAGCGGAGAAGATCGTAGTAAGGCTTCAATCTCACCGACTAGATCGGAGTTTGGATCTGGAGTAACAGGCTCAAAGGTTTCTTGCTGAGTCGCAGGAGAGTCAGGCGCGGCCAGTGGAGGTGTACCCAAAAGTGCATATGCGTCGAGTAACTCTGACTGTACTCTACTATCCCCAGGGGTCTCATCAGGCCAGTCTTGGGGCTGGCGCTCAATTTCTGGCGACGACGGGTCCAAAACAAATGTGAAGGTCTTTGGTTCCTCAACGGGGATCACAGGTGGTTCCAGAGGGCTCAGATGAGCCTCGATAATATCTTCATAGTCGTCATAGAATGGATTTTCAACCGGCGAGTCAGGTAAGAAGGATTTAAAGGTTGTCTGAGTGTGTTCGATCTCTTCTCCCTCTGACTCTGCCTGGTCTTCCTCTTCTTGCTGTTCTTCTGTGCCTTCGCCGGGTGGTGTGATGGGTGGTGACGGTAAGCTGCTCGTCGTCGACTTGAGAAGTTCAAACTGGGAGGTCCGGGTCCCCAGGGCTCTCAAATTCCTCCAACTCCTCATCTTGCGGACTCTAACCTCCCGTCCGCCTGTCTTAACTCCCATAATCGGCATATCCATAACCCAAGCTTGTACTGTTGTTACTTGCTTCTGTGCATTCGAACTCGGTGGTCGCTCCATAGTTGATATTTCGTCTAGCAACTCCACGATGGCAGGGGTCATCGGCGAAAGCGGCATGTCATAATAATCAATACTCCCAGCGGACTCCCTCTGTACGACATTTTCAGCGTCCAGCGAGTTCCTTGGTGTAGTTTCCGGAGAAGTGTCGGTAGATGCCGGTGGTGGCCAGGCAGGGCCGGGGGTCAATGTGTATATGGAACTCTGATCACCAGGAGGTACCACCACCGAATCCCCATCTATGCTCTCAGTTGGCGAGGGCGAAGGGGGCGATTTGAGCGAGTTTTCGCTGAACCGCCATGCGATAAGAGGTTCATCGGTGATACCGGAGTCTCTTGGTAATACCGGTATTCCCAAGCCCAATCCAAAGCCCGAAGGGACTTCTTTCTCCTTTCCTTTGCCCTTATCTCTCGATGCGAAAACATCATCCTTGACCGAGGCTTCGACGATGAGAGATGGCGAGTTGGAGCTCCGGAAGCTATGATTTTCATCCGATAGCGGAGATTTTGTCTTTCCGGAGTCTCTGCGACGTCGCTTTATTCGGGGCGACGGGGTGGTGGCAGCTTTGAAGAGCTGTCGTGAGGTTTCCGGGCTTTCGGCGTAGAATGGTATCGGCGGGGAATTGGTGAGGTATGCATGCGCACTGGAAGCCGACATGATGGCGTCAAATGACTGTAACGAGCGAAAGGTTGCAAAACCAGCAATATGATAAAAACTACAACATTAAATTTAAATATAAAGCAACAGAAAACAGGTAATAGAATAGAAGACTATAAAGGCATGTTCTAGATTAGTTTTAAGATTTTAAAATTTTTTATTTCGGGCGGTAAATTTTTCGAGAGCTCGAGAGCCTCTGTTTGGAATGGAAAGGTGCTGCTTGGCTGTGAAACTTGGGAAAAGAAAATTGGACGCAAGAAAGATATAAGGATGTCAGGGCACCGCAGTAGTTTATACCTTCTTGCGTAATAGTACCCACCCGGCCAGCCAGTTAGACTAGCAGCGAAGGAGCAAGGCAGGTTACTTGGTCAGTTGGAGCTGCGCATGGCCTGCAGCTGTTTAATCCGGTGCTTAGATCGGGTGGCGGGGGAAGGGTGTCCACCTTGTCTTGTGCCCAAATAAAGCTGCAGGCTTTCTATTCGCTTGGATTCGTCCGCCCTTGGAATTTCCTGGTTTTCAAGCAAGCTACGATTGAGAATCAAGAGTGAGGAAAAGGGGAGGAGTACGTAGTATGTACGATGATGTGAAAGATTAAAAAGTTAGCGCCAACCGAGGGATTGATGTGATTGATCGATTGGAGTAATATTCTTTTTTTTTATATCGATCGAGAGAGCATGTGGATTGAGAAGGCTGGTAAGCATAAATCAGCTGAAGCATAAACTTCCATCATTCCTCGCAGTGACGCCGGCCAACACAATAGGCCCAGTACTGCAGCGACAATCACACGCCGGTGATCAGACACAACACAACCTCACAATTTGATTTATAAGGGCTTTTCAACACATTGCGTTTAGATAGTGGAATCGGAACCACTAACCTCAACAAACAGCTTTCTTGGTGTAGTTGGTTATCACGTGAGTCTCATATGTTTCATATGACCGTCTGCTCAACAGATGGATAGAAATCTCAAGGTCACCAGTTCGAACCTGGTAGAGAGCAAGCTGTACTTTTTACCTTTTTTTCCCAATTTTTTTCACCTTTTTGGCCCTGGTTTTAGTCGAGAAAGGCCAGTTTTCCGTCGATTTGGAAGGTTTTGATGATTTCGATGTCAAGGTTCTTGTGCATGCAGCTGTCAAACGCGACAAACACATATAAAACGCAACACAAAACTGAGTATGTGTTGGATGTCGTTGCAAGAGCTGGTCTTGCAAACACTAATTTGCCTTTGAAGACAATCGGCACCCATTCGTCGATCCAACAGACTCACCAAATTTGGAACTCATCTATCTGTTCCCTTCAACCATGGCCAGTCCGGACCGATTCGTCTCTGACGGCTTACGATTTGACTATCCCTTCTCGAATTACCAAGTTCACAGCCATAGCTATGCTTAGCTCCAAACCTTCCTCTCCAATAGCTTGCCGCCAAGAGCTTGCCCCAGCTCGTGAGGAGTTGCCGAACTTTCTGCGCCTTGCACTCAAGCAATCTGATTGGTTACCAGCTACCCCGAAGCAAAATGCACACTGACGGAAAGGTTTCCCTTTTCTCTCAAAGTTGCATCCCACAAATGCATTTTCCGCAGCACCCAGCTCTCTGGTTAGCTTTTTCTGTCTCGGTGAGAGCGAGCAATCGTCCCAAATATCGACAAGACCTTCCTCTGATGTCTCTGCTCCGCCATGAAAAAAAGCCGTAGGGCTAGAGTCCTATGACGCTTTTCGACGTTTCATCGCGTCGGTTCGGGAACCTGCGGGTTTGTTATTTTTTTTTTTTCTTTCTATAACGACGTCGACACTGACTCGTGGGCGGAGCTCCCGGCCTCACCGTAGACTCTTGCTTTGCTCACTCGAATATTCGAAATTATACCAAAAAGGTGGCCATCCATATTTTACATTTTGAAAAATTGCACATTGATGACATTCTACAAAGAGGGTGTGTCGAACCCGGCGACTTGGTTGGCAGAGGGCCGTTCCGTGCAAACTATTGGTGGCCATCCTCGTATTCTGAAGTTTTGAATATTTGGTAGGGGTCCCAATTCGGACGAATGCAAAACGGAAAGAGGGATCGTATGCTCATGCACGCAATCCCGTCTTACCGTCCACGAGGCCCACCGGATCCTCAATATCAGACGAAATACATATTAAAAGTTATATTAACTGAAATGCAATTAATTCGATACATGTGAAATACTGAGTCGCCATTGGTGGTCGTAGACTGTCTCCCTGTCGCTACCTCGCGAAATCAACATTTAACAATCTGAACGCCGACGAATAGATATATATGTATTATACCGTATGATTTATAATTTAGATGGTTCTGGAGGGTGGTGGAAGCGGTACCATATGGCCGTAGATAGACTGAGCGTTATTACTTGTTCAACTTTGCAAAAGGTGGTCGTCTTCTATAGAGATCGATCCAATAAAAAAATTGCAGAGTCGCGCAGAAGATCTATATATACAACGATAAGGCTGACTCACGAGATGGCCTAAAGCGCACGCACTGACGCATTTGAGCTCGAAAATCCAACTATTCTAGCCTTTCTTTACGTTACAAGAATTTGCACGACAGGCTCCACTTTACGACATGATGTGTGGCTCTTACGTGTTGCAGTTACATCTCGTTTTGAGGCCAATACTCCGTGAAGCAGTGCTAATCAGGGATATATAAATTGTGATGATTATTAGTGGTTAATAGTGGCTACTGATCATTAGTGGTAGTAAATGGCATTCAGTGCACCACAGCACTCTAATGGGCAGCTATAATGTGAATGAATAAAGTGAATGTGAGAGATTTATAGAATAGAACGTAGAGGGGAAGAGACCTAAGAACTCTTGTCAAGGAACTTTACGGGATTACGCGTACCGATGATTCTTCGCGGCTGATGCTATATATGTGAAAATTAGCATGAATTGGGCCTTTTAATTTGGCATGGCTATTCTATAGACTCCAAAAGAATAAGACCGCGTAGTACAGGATAAAACCACCAGCGTTCGATAAAGATAAAATAGAAAGCGTAAAATAAAATAAAGCTAAAGATTCATATCATATGTTTCCTATAAACAGTGGAATGACCATAAAAAACGTGAAACTATTCTTGAAATAAATAGAAAAACATGTTTTAATTCTCCGGATTCGCCTAATAGCAAAAATAATATGAAAATAAAAACGATCAAGAGACTCCTTTAAACACTGATCATACTCGCCGCCTCTTGCGCACTCCTTGCTCTATCCAACCTGGACTTCAACTCCCGTCTCGAACTAGCAACCTGCCAATCCTCACGAGCGATATTGCCCAATTCAGCCTCCTCCAAACCACTGATATACTCTGATTTCAAAAGACGAATCGGACCTTCTTTCCCCAACAGCTGACGTTCGATTACCTGAAGGATTACATTATCTGTGAATCGCTTGAGTGAGATGGAATAATAAGATTTGAGGATATCGTGGATATCATATGTCGCCTGATCCTCATTGGTCAGACTGACCGCGTTCATGATAGCCGAGATGTCTAAAGAGCGAGTATCCTGTCCATCTTCAGATTTTGTGAGAGTAATGAGATTCAGGCGGGCGAGAACCCTCTCGGAGCGGGTAGTAGAGAGTGTGTGCGCAAAGTAATCGTTGACGGTTTGAAGTATACCGCAAGATTCATCTTCCACGAGTTGATCGAGCTGTTTGTACGCAGAGAGGATGGTATCGCCTGTCGTTTTGGACAAACTCACTCTGAGCTTTTTGCGGACGTTTTCGTCAGTTACGACCTTGTGGAAAAGCTCCTCGTTGAATTTAGTGACCGTGTCGACGACACGAGAAACGTGGTGCCGGGCCACGTTTTTCCAATTCGACGACTGCTCTCTAAACATCTCTATGACAGCGTTTGGATTGACCATGCCTGGGAGCTCGGGGCCTCGAGAGTTCTTATAGGTGTTTCTGATCCACTCGTAAATATCCGCCGGTTCTGGATGTGTTACCCTTTCAAAATAAGATTCTCTGAGTCTACTATCATACCCTTTGTGATCATCATGGCCTTTGATATCTTTGAAGCAGCGAGTATGACCTAGTGCTTGGATTCTGGTCGAGAACTCTTCATTCATGTTTTGAATGTGAGTTCGGATTTTGAGTGGTGAGTTGATGGAAACCACCTCTCTAAGCTTTGCATCGAGGCAATCAGTGACCCTGCGGTCATATTCATTCGCGATACGAGTGAGATATTGTCTTTGTTCCGTGGCTGTATTTCTAGCTGCACCGAGCTTTTGCAAGGCTTCTTCGGTCTCAGAGACGAGCTTGTTGATCTCGTCAACCAGCTTTGGGAATTCGTCGCGCACATGTTCGTAGAGAAGGTGGCCTAGGAATGGTTTGAGTTTTTCTATACCAATATGTTCTCTGTTCAGGCGGCTCCAAGGAGCCTTTTTGAAAAACTCTTTTTCTTTCTGGTGTCGTTGTTGGATGGTGACACCGTCTCTGATTTCTTGAGTGGATCGGTTCTTCACAACAAACCAGCCGTGGTGGAGGACTTCAATTTTATTCGAGGCAATTTGGATAACCTGGGATATATTTAGCGTTTATCATATTAGAATATCAGTTTTGGTAGTGATAACTTACACCCTGTTCATCACCTGCAGCGACGGCGTCACATTTCGTTATGATACCAACGGTGCGCTTTCCTTCTGGATCAACCTCGCGAGCCATTTTAAAGACTTCCTGATTTGCCAGGTTGTTACGACCGTCCATGACTGCCATGATGATGGTACGAGGGTCTTGGATGTAAGTCTGAATCAGGTTCCGGATGAGCTCTCGGTCTTCGTCTGTCTGAAATTTGGTTGAATCTGCGAGCCTGTTAATTTCCTGCCCTTCCTGACTGTAATATAAATTTAGAAGTGCAACTTACTGTGAAACAGACCTGGAACGTCGACAATAGTAAGATGGGGATGTTGTGGGCCAGATAACTCGATTTTGAGAATATCACCAGAAAATCGCTTGTCTGGGGTCTCTTCGCCGCTAAACCCTGGCTTGGGGATACCCATACAAACCGCGGCCTGTGAGTTGAGAAAAGTCAATATAGTTTCTCGCCGATGAAAGGAAGATAGATACTCACGTCATCCAAAATCTTTGCGAAACTCTCAGGTCCGAAATCTGATTCTGGAAGAGATACCTGGAAACCCAACAGTTGAGCTTTAAGTTCCTCATCATCAGAAGATTCAACGCCAGGGATGATTGAAGCTTTGACATTTTCTTCTTCTTCTGTTCTGCGTAAAACAATTTGCGTAGCGAAGCGAGTACAGAGATCGCTAGCTACAGGGAAGCTGATTTCGGTGAGACCTTCAAGGAGAGAAGATTTGCCGGAAGACTGGTCACCGACGACGACGAGCTATAGATAATCCTCGTTAACACCACCTTTGAGATCACTAGTAGTCTTGCTCATACAAGAAACTCACCTGTGGAAGCGAGATATCTTCACTAATGTTCAGCTCGCGAAATTTATCAATGGTGTCGAAGAGCCTGCTTCGCTCTGCTGACTCAAGCGCATTGAGTTGGGAGAAATTGCGAGGACGGCCTGGCATTTTGATGGTACCTTCGCGGGGCTTTTTGCTTATCCTCAGAGCACCTAGGGGGAGTAATTCTGAAACTGGTATTGATCCAGGTATATTCGGATGGAATATGTCTTCTTCTTCTTCGTCGTCGTCTTCTCCTTCTTTAGAAGACGTATTCGAAAAGGGAAGGGAAGGCAACGAAGTCAAAAGCAAAGACGCCTCTGATTCCTCGTCCTGAGAAGACGCGTTAGAGGAATGCAGAACTTGCAGGCGAGAAGGAGGAAAAGGTGGTGAATTATCTAGAATAGAATTTGATTGATGGAGACTGCTCTGTGGTCTTCTGAAAGTGGCTATATTAGATGGAGAATCAGGGAAGACTGTAGACAGATATCTGGAGAATAGAGGAAGAAAGTGTGGCATCTTTTCGAAGATTCAAGTTTGATTTATAGACATCCATTTACCAATGGGTCCTGAGTTGG